CTTGAGAATTAAAATCATATTTTGTAGAATAACAACATGATTTGGTGCTTTCACACATAGACGAAGGCACTGCTTATGACAGTATACACCTCCATTTTATAAAAGATTATAATGTGATGTAAAAACATTACATTCATATCATATTGGTTTCATAAGGAGATGTTAAGTTAGAAGAAAACACGAATACATACTAAATCAACAAATGGCTCATGCACTTCAAATTCATTAAGAATTGGAAATGTCCTGCTTCCATCACTGAACATGTGCCATCAACACTCTACATCTGTAGACCTTGACCTATGTCTCAGCAAGATTTTCCAGCAATTTACAAGCAACTTTGTATCAACTAATGAACCCATCAAAATTGAGCTATTTAACTAAAAGTTAGTTTATTAATTTTCCATTCTTCTTTTTATGAGTTATAGGGGAGGTGCAGTTCACACTGTCCATTTTTGTACTTGAACAGGAATATTTCTTCTGCCTCACATATTCCAGTCTGTTTGCTGGTCTGACGGATCACCACATCGGTTACAGAGAACAAAATAATATGAATGCTAGCTCTAAGACACACACTGTGTGTCAGTATCACACTGCATTTTATTTCTTTTCACATAAAATTTTAAAAATTGATAAAAACTCTATGAAAGATATTTGGCAAGATCTTTCTGTTACATCTGCTAGCAATTCTAATTTTTTTTGCAATTCTCATTTTGATCAGGTCAAATATTTCCTAAAATTAAAATGGGAGAAAGCTGTATAAAAGCATTGTTTGTTTTCCTGGATCTCCCAGCCTCTGACGTAATAGACCACAGTACCTGTCGGGACTGAATCTCAAAATTAAAAGGCACAGTTTAAGCTGATGCTAGGGGGCACTTCTGATATCGAGTCCTAGTGCTTTGAAAATGAAAACAGAAACCAAGTTTATAAGCAAGAATCTTGGACAGCAGCAATGGACTGTTTGTTACCAAGAAATAAGGACAGTTTGTTACGAAAGTCAAACTAGCTTCGGGGGGGGCGGGGACAATGAGAATTTTAAAAATCCTGTAAAGGAAATCTCAAGCATAAGAGATGGACTATATGGATTAAGCACTGTGAATGTATTTAGCATTTCTCATGAAAGATTTTCTAGGCTTCCCAGCAGATATGTATTTATCAATAAAGGAATCATATATATCAATATAGGAATTGCACTGGAAGGACAGATCCTGAAGCTGAGGCTCCAATACTTTGGCCATCTCACGAGAAGAAAAGACTCCTTGGAAAAGACCCTGATGTTGGGAAAGTGTGAAGGCAAGAGGAGAAGGGGACGACAGAGGACGAGATGGCTGGACAGTGTCATAGAAGCTACCAACATGAATTTGGCCCAACTCCTGGAGGCAGTGGAAGACAGGAGGGCCTGGCGCGCTCTGGTCCATGGGGTCACGGGGAGTCGGTCACGACTTAACAACCAAACAACAACAAATATATTATAAACATATATTAGCCTTGAGGAAATTTTCCTGCCTTCCCTGTGGCTGTATATATCTCAATTAATGTGGTTTGGATATTATAAACTTTCATACTGTATACATGACTGCTATTTTCATAATATGCATGAGTAGATTAGAAGAGTATATAAGTGAATTATTGTAGGATATTGTCTTTAGTAAACATGAAACAGTGCATCTTGTATGAGCAAAGTGCTAATAATCAACAAGTGGATTCCTCATTGTACATAATCAATCAGGTGGCTTAGCACAGAACTAGAAATCTAAGTGGCAACTTCCCAAATGACTTACGCCTTTTCCCTTCTACCAATGTAACTACATTTCAAGATTTTGGCCAATGTACATGAATATGCCACCTTGAGATTTGTGATTGGACATCACTGGAGAGCAACAGGTAATTTGCCAGACTGATTGACAAGGTATGTATGTACCTTTGAGGAAGTCAAGCTGTGCAGGGTAAATGGGTGGATTACCATGAATATGCATCTCTCTTAACATCTAGTTTCACCCAGAGACAAGGACTGAGAATTAAGAGGTGTTGTTTGAAGTCACAAAGCATTTCAAAGGCACTGGGGTATTCCCAATAATGTATTCCCTCTTATTGGTGATAAGAATGTTTTTGCAGACTGCCAAAAATGTACTCTGATGAATTAACTGAAATATTATAACATCGCCAAAGCCACTAGAGATCTCTCCTTGCAATGGAATCCAAACCCTCAAAAGCATTGTCCCAGAACTTCTCACCATACAGAGAAATGGGAGATGTGGCACAAAGTAATAAATTATTAAATTCCTATTAAATCTTTGAATACTGTGAAGGTTGTCTTCTATCCAGGTAAGGGAAAATAATATCACAAGAGAAATTGGAAAAATGGCTCAAAGCTGAACAAGGGAATTATGCTTTCACGACCTTAATGGGGTGCATACTGTCTACACCAGCTCTGATCTACTGCAAGGAAAAATACATAATCTGATAGGTTTAAAGACCACTCTAATTCTGCATGTACTAGTTGATGTACTGTAGAACTTACTTTGTAAGCAGAAAATTATGTGCAAGTCTATAGGAACTTATGTGTTGCAAACATCAATATTAATAATACAAGATCTATGTAAATGTCAAATATATGGTAGCCACATTTTTTCATATACAAAAGACATTATGAATTGGACAATACATAGAAATAGACCAAACTGTTATCCAATAAGTGCTCACTTATTTAAAGGAGGGAATCAAAGAAATAAAGACTCTCTGAGAACTTGGTATCAGATACAAAACATTTGAACTTTTGAAGATGCTATCTCATCTTTGTCTTCCTCACTCTGTATTTCTCATGTTCCTTGTATAAACACTCATTTCTACATAATAAGACGTCACCTATGAGTTCTACACTTAGTCTTATTCTTTTCTTTTTCATTTTTTTTTTAACAAATAGAGATTATAAATGCAAAAGCAAGAAACACATTGAAGGAAAAATTGAACAAGAGCCAAAGAAGTAAAGTTCATAGACTGTCAGATTAGGAGACCTGGATCCAAATGCCCACTCAGCCATGGAAACTCACTGGTAAAACAAAAAACTCACATACGATGGAGACCCTACCAGGGTTGTATAAACTGGAATCAACTTGAGAGTATGGAACACACATATAAGATGGAGTACCTCTACCCATGTCCCCTCAAACCCTTTGCAAACTATTAGCAGAAACAATAATCTTTCATTTATTTATGTGTTTGTTTATTTATATATCTGTTCAATTTCTATCCTGCCATTCTCCTCTTATTGGGATCTATAGTGACTTACAGGAGTATATTAAAAAATTCACAAATTATTAAAAATATATTAATTACAAATTTTAAACTATAGGAAATAAAAATTACAGAAAATTTCTTTAAAAAAGATTTTAAAATCCCACTGAACCTCCCCCATCTCAATTGCCTGCTGACTCTCCAATAGCCTCTTCAAAGAAGCAAAGTTTCAATTGCCATCGGAATAAAAGGAGAAAACGGTTAACCACACCACCTGACAAATGGAGTTCAATACAGTATCTGGAAGCAGCCACAGGAGAGAAAAAAAACAACCTCTCAGATCTTTCCTAAACATGCCAGTGGAAGTGGTAGGATTACATGATGTACTCCCTTGATGTTCTTCATGTTTGTGGGGAATGGTACAAGGAGATACAGTATTTCAGATAGCGTGGTCTTGAGCCATAAAGACCTTTAAATGTCATGATGACCGATATGTGAATAGGGCCTAGAAATGAACTGGCAGCCAGTGAAGATGTCACAATTGTGTGTGTGTGTGGGGGGGAGATTGTCGCAGAAACCCAGTAGCCAGTACCAATGAATACTATGGCTGCAGCATTTTGCAACAGTTTCCCAACCGTCTTCAGAGGCAGCTCCATATAAAGAGTTTTGCAATAATTCAAACGTGAAGTAACCAAGGAATGTGTCACCACAGCCAAGATTAGAAAATATAAACCAAGGACTTGTCACATGCTTCAAATCCAAGATTAAACCCTATTAATGCCATGAAGGCTTTCACTCCTATATTCCTAATTCTTCTACAGAAGTGAAGCCTTATGTATTTATAATTGCATATACTCAGTTTCATCCCTTATCATGCCTTAACTCATTTGAGATGAGCGACAAACAGTAACTCCACCCAATATGGATCTTCTCCCCTACCCCAAAAGCCCTTTCTACCTCGTGCCTACTTCATTCAAAGAATCCCCCATTATCCAGGTTTATAGAAGGCAGGGGCTGTAGTTCTTTCAATTCAAATTAAGGTGTGAGATTTCAAAATATTTTAAGACACAAGAGAAACTGTTCCTATTTCAATGTTGATATTAGTGAAATTCTGAATGCAAAAGAAAATGTTTTCACTTGTGGAGAAATTACCAGCTAAAGGATGGAATGTCCAAACATAGCAATTATGTGCAAAGTAGCATAGTTATTTTCAAAGCTGATAAGGAAAATAATATATAGATCAATTTATTGAAAGGGGTTTTTATTTCCATAGTTTTGAAATTTGTTGACAAACCACATCCAACTTACAGCAACTCTAGTAGAATTTTCAAGGTAAATGAAATGTTTAAAGGCTACTTTGAGTGAGTTTCCACTGCCAGATGGAGGTTTGAACCCAGGTCTCCTAGTCCATCACACTATCGCTATACCATGCTGGCTTACTTCCAGCAAATTATTCAGTATGTATGAAAGTTAATGTCACTCATGCAAAGGAATTGGAAGCTGACTTCATCACTGGTTACACACGAAAGCTGCACAACACACAGCATGACTGCAATACCAAAGAGCTGAAAAATGTTTTCATTTGAGAAAAAAGAAATGATTGCAGAAGAATACACATGATATGAGTATATGGATTTTAAAAATTAAAAATTCATCTTCTATAGTTGAAAAGTGATCATAACAGAAGTTCTATAGTATGAAGAGGAGTGGGGTTGTTGTTGTTGTTGTTTTTTGGGGGGGGTTACTGGGCCATACTATGAAACTCCTACCTGTTGGTGGGATGATTCCAGGAGACATGAGACCAGGGACAGAATGCGGCATGATATGTGAATTCTCTGGGGTGGTGACACTTTGAGTCCGCTTAGGAGGCCGTCCAGGTCTGGAACTGAAACAAACAAACAAACAGAAAACTTTACAATTAAGCTGTTGTCTTACACACCATTTCAAAGTTGTTTCAATTGGTAACATGGACTGTAAATAAATTTGTTTCAAGGACGGTTGCTTTTGCAGTTAGTTGTAATAGACTTCCATCACTAATTAGATTACATGCTGAATTCATTTTCCTCATTGAAGATCAGCCGCGCTTGATGCATAATTCATAGCCTGCACCTCGTTACCTGCTTCTTCATATTAATATCTATACACAGTTTGAATTGCCTCGTTTGCATATGCTAAAGTTCTGCATGCAGCCTTCAGCACGAAAATTATGCACTAACTTGTAATAATTATTACAGTCAGCCTGCTATTGATTTATGAGACTTTTAAAAACCAAATATGTGTAGTACTTGTAATGAATGATATTTTAAGGTTCTTCAGGAAATTAAAAGGCAATGGCTGCCTAAGGAAATGTTCTGCTTGTTTGATTTAATACTACAGTTAGCTGGGAGGTGGAATGAAAGAGTGGTTCAGACCTATAGCACATTTTTCGATGATATGTTTTATTACTTCGCACTACTACCCTGATATCTAGATGATAAATGACAATACATATCTAATATGTGAAAAGGTCTTGCAATTTCTTTATTTTTTGTCATGTAAAAGATAAGTCAAGTTATCATTTAACCCTTATTTTATTTAAAGCAAAAAGAAGTGCTTTAAATATGGAACATTAGTAAAAAAAAAAAAAAGCTTTGATTTGCTCAAAAAGCCTTTGTTGAAAAATAAATAGCAGTCTCAATCCCTGACATTTCTTCTGCATGGATATGCAGAGCTGGTACACACTGGGGTTGGAGCAGGTCAGACAAAAAAAGGTAAGAGAAAAGCCACATGATAGTTGTTCTAGAACAGTTGTTCCCAACCTTGGGTAACCCAGGTGTTCTTGGACTGCCACTCCCAGAAACCCTAGCCAGCACACCTGATGGTGAAAGCTTCTGGGAACTGCAGTCCAAAAACACCTGAGTTACCCAAGTTTGGGAACCACTGTTCTAGAACATCCCCCCTTTCAATTAGTGATTGCACAAAAAGGGTTTCATGCAACTTGCACATCCGTTGCTTACACAAAGGGGGCTCCATGTGGTCACATGCAACTGGAACATCTGATTACATGGAAGCTTTCACACAGCTTCATGGGACAATCCTCTCTGCAGATATTTGGGCAAAACCATAGACATCCAAGGGACAGGGAAACAGTGTGTACAGTAAGAGATAAGACCAGTACTTAGGCCCTGCTTCTTACCCATGCCATTGAGCTCTCTTTGTGCAATTAAGATTTGAAGGAAACTGTGATCAAAAGCTTATGTGAGAATTATACCCTAATGTTAAAGTATAACAGGATTGAAACAGATATTCATGTAGAAGTGGATCTGTGTGCATAGCAAGAGATTTTGGTTGTTCAAAGACTACATTTTCAGTCAGTTCTGGGAAACATGTATATGGATTCTTTTATTCACACCAAAGCCTTCCTATGACAAGAATAGATGGATTACATGGCACTATCATCAAAATCTAAAAGACACAAAAATCTCAGCTTTTAAAAAGAAATGTTCTACAAGTTCTATATACGTTCTGCTAATAACTTCAACAGGGCGTATACTTTACATTTATGGCCCTTGCTTTTGCAAAGATAGTTAAGCAAATCAACAGTTCATAGTGGCTTGTCAAAGAAATTCCAAAACTCAAAAGTTCTTTATATAATGCCATTAGAGCTAATTTCCTTGGTCCTAAACTAAATAAATAGTAAACAGGTGTGTGTGTGGGGGGGGGAATGATCTGGCAGCCTAACCTCAAATCCTTACTTAACTTGAGTGGCTTTGAATCAGACAAAAACGTGAGCATACTCTTTCTTATAGGTAAAAGAGAAATCATCTCATGCCCCTCCATCTTGTTCTCCTTCAAACAATGACATTAAAAACAAATGTTTGCATTAATGACACATGTTAATTTATATACTTATCCCATTTTTATCCCCTCTTTCTGGCAAATCAGGGACCCATATACGGTGGGGCAGACACAGAAAAGGCCCTCCTTCAAGTTCTCTCAAACACGCCCATGAGGGCAAGAGCACCAAGGGAAGGGCCTCCCTAGAAGATCTGAAGATCAAGAAGAGTGTCATATGGGGAAATGAGTCCTTCAAATAACCCAGCTGTAAAATTATCCACAGGGCACACAATACTTGTCATTCGCCGCCTGTGGAAGAAATGTCATTCCATTCATCTAGTCCTACTGCTTAGGGGGTAGCTGAGCAGTTTATCTCAAAATATAATAATATTAGAAGCATATTAGCTATTTTATTCAGAATCTCTTTCCTAGCTGCAAGACCTAAGTAGCACTCGCTTTCATTGTGACCATTAGATCTTTGTGTTTTGAGACACCCACATTTTTTCAAACTATACCCTTCTCTAATAAACGAATAACGATCAAAGTACAGGGCATTTCCTTGGAGTTTAATGACTCAAGACCTTGGGCCATTAACCTTAACTGGTCATTAATTCCCAAGTTAATGACCTGAATTGAGGTCATTATTAATATAAAGCAAGAAGATTTTCATTGTATTCAACATGGCTTTCTTTTTTTTCTCTCATCACTAAAAACAGTTATTTTTCTAAACTTATGCGGAGGAAGTATATGAAAATTATATTGTTTTGAAATGTTTATAGCCTTATAGTAGATATACTCATTATTCTTGGAAATGTTCACAATGAAAATAAACATCTTAGCTTAGATCCCCATACAGAAAGCATCTTCCTTTTGCAGAAGGGCAGTTTTACATCTTGTGCTACAGAACAAAATAGGAAAAGTAAAACGAAATATAAAGATAGGTGATATAAATCAATCACACCACAAAAACAATTTAAATTGGATATTCCTCTATTTTTATTGACATTTAAAGTCTATAGAACATTCTTTTGATGTAAAGTTCTATGGTTAAGTAGATTCACAAAGGAAAGTATTTTCACATTGTAAAGCCACGCTGAAGCCAAGTTAATACAAGGGTCACTCCAATATTGACCGCTTGTGGTCCATCATTTATAAGTAAGTACAAAAGCAGTTTCACAGTGGATTATCACACAACAAATGCCAGTGGACAGCTTGTTGTTTAGATAAGTCCTATTCAAGCACTATTATCCATGCAGAAAATTCACACAAAGCAGGGCATCCCCTTGTCCTACTTACCTCTGTTTCTTCTTCCATCTCCCTCCCACATATGGAAGACAATGAATATGAGACAGTGATCATCCACTGTTTGTGGAGATCCTTCACAAGAGTCAGGACCCTGATTTTCCAGAATTCTTACTCACTTGGGTCCCTCTTCACATCTGGGACCCTCCACGTGTTTACTTATGTAAAAAAGCTGAAGCTTGAATTCTAAAAAAAATACCCTACATTTAGAAATACTTTGATATGCTTCTTGTTGCAATATTTCTAATTTCAAAGAAAATTATTAAGGCAGTCAAGTTTGAAGGTAGATATGAGATTATTACATGAATCAAAAACACAGATCCAGAATACTATCTTATCTCTTTAATCATTCACATGTCTATACCAAAGGACTTGATTCTAGCATATTCATTTTCATATACTTTCCCTTACATATAGTATATTAGGTTGGATCCAGAGTGCTCCTCCATAACAGATTTTCTTCTGGTGGTGAGTCATACAGGATCTGCAAAAGGATACCTACTGTCACCTGTTTCTCTCTTCCCTAAAGTCCCCAATTCAACTTATTTACTCTTCTGAAACTAATCACTCAGGATGGCCTTTGTTATGTAAAGCTTGGGGTTATTTTTTTTGCCAGCAATGTGGGCATGACATAAGACAATGTAAGGCTATTTCCTGGCATTCTGAGTCAAAGACAAAATAGTAATATTCCACATTCATAAATTATAAAATATTTCCTGAACAACTGAATAGACACTGACAGAAAGATATAGATAAAAGTATAGATACAGGACCCCTACACAGGTTGTTGACTTGTCGTCGTGAACGGTCTTGAGTAATTCAGAGAAGATATGGGCTATGCCCGTGCAGGGATACCCAAGAAGGACAGGTCATAGTGGAGAGTTCTGACTAAATGCAATCCACCTGGAGCAGGAACTGGCAAGCCACTCCAGTATCTTTGCCAAGAAAACGCCATTGACAGAAACAAAACGCTAAAAGAGACGATGCTGGAAAATGTGTCCCTCAAGTGGAAAGGCGTCCAACATGCTATTGAGGAAGAGCGAAAGACAAGTACAGGTAGCTCCAGAGCGAAAGACAAGTACAGGTAGCTCCAGAGCTAATGAAGTGATTGGGCCAAACCTGAAAGGACGCTCACCTGCGGACGCACCTGGAAGGGAAAGGAAAGTCTGATGCTGCAATGAAAAATAATGCATAGGAACTTGGAATGTAAGATCTATGTACCTTGGTAAGCAGGATGTGGTCGAACAGGAGATGGCAAGAATAACATTGACATCCTGGGCATCAGTGAACTAAAATGGACAGGAATGGACGAATTCAATTCAGACGATTACAGTATCTAATACTGTGGGCAAGAATCCCGTAGAAGAAATGGAGTGGCCCTCATAGCAAACAAAAGAGAGGGAAAAGCGGTACTGAGATACAATCTCAAAAATGATAGAATGTTTTCAAAACAAATCCAAGGCAGACCTTTCAACATCACAATAATCCAAGTTTATGCACCAACTACCAATGCTGAAGAGGCTGAAACTGACCAATTCTATGAAGACTTACAACACCTTCTAGAACTGACACCAAAGAAAGATGTTCTTCTCATTATACGGGATTGGAATGCTAAAGTAGGGAGTCAAGAGATAAAAGGAACAACAGGTAAGTCTGGCCTTGGACTTCAAAACGAAGCAGTCGTCATTTAGTCGTTTAATCGTTTCCGACTTTTTGTGACTCCATGGACCAGAGCACGCCAGGCCCTCCTATCTTCCACTGCCTCCC